CAATAGCAATAGTAGTAGCAATAGCAACAATAATAGTTTCGGGATTTCTGAATCTAGAGACGGCTTTTAGTATGTTGACGGGTGGCGTCCCCATTTCGGCTATGAGAATTTCGAAGTGGCACGTGACATCAGCAGTTGCCCGAGACATGGGACGACGAAAATCAAATCCCGAACGACCACGGATGGACTTCGCGTCCTATAAGGCAGCGAGCCCCGGTCACAGGAGTGCAGGTGTCAACTAGGCCTGGGAGTTAAGGACTCTGGGCAAGGGGCAGTTTGCCACAGCGGCCAATAAACCCAGTTCAGTCGAGAACTTCCCACTTTCCTCTTTTCCTGCTAGTCGAAATAACCTCGACAATCGAAGCCATGCCCGTGGAAGCAGCCGCAATTGCATCCCAGCGTAATCATTGCAGAAGTTTCATATACAAGCAATGCATATTTACGCAGATCTTTTCCCAGATGTATGCATGTAAAACTGTTGTGTTCCTCGTTACGGAGCGTCTGGCCTTCGGCCGTCGCCGTCCGGGCGCCTCAGCCGCTGCGGCGCCGTGGTCGCAGCTGGCCTGGGCGACAGCAAGGCCAAGGTTTTGGGGATCTTGTGTTCAACAGTTTCTGGGAGCTGAAGTGATACTCTTGGCCTCTGCGGGGGGGAGGCATGCGCAAAGAAGGAAAGGACAGGTCCCGCTTCAGAGCCGCCCATACCCAGCAAAGACGATGATGCCACAGTCCGCAAAGTCCTCAAATACATCCAGCAGCCCGAGCTTGAACCCTCAAACCCTGCGAGCACAAAGTAGCACCCTCAGCCCCGAACTCTCCATCACCCAGTTGTAGTAGTGAAGTCATTCACCGAAGGTGCGAAGCTGCAACATGACTTCGACCCCCACAGCCACAACCTTTGCTCTGCCAGATGCTTATCAGCTGCAAGACCGGGGAGTCAAGAAACTTGACCGGACCAAGTCTGTACAAAGATCCCCCCGAAAGCGCTGCGTAGCTCGGTGCAGCTGATCTGTACAGCGGCTGCATCAAGCTCTTCCGTGCACGGAGAAGGCAGGACGATGAGTTTTGAGGGCGCAAGTCGCCGGCTCATGCAAAAGAAGACAAGGACGATAGGCCGCTAGGCCCGCTAGGCTCCGGCCTGTTTCAGGTGAAGCGGCAGCTTCGAATTCGAAGTGGCCTCCAGCAGAATCCTGGTTGCTAGGCTGACACCTCCACAAGCATTCAAGGCCCGGGCGCAATCCATGGCACGCTCTTTGAAAGATGGATCTTGCGCCACCTTCGTCAAGGCATCTGCAGTGGTTTTCCTGTACGCAGCTTTATCTGCCTCAGCATGCTCCAGGGGTCGCATGGGTCGATCCACCTTGAGACCGATCTGCAAAGACTCAGCTTTCGCAGCGTTCACCGGCTGATCGGCAAAGCCTGGGCAAACCACTAGGGGAACCCCCATGGACAAGGCTTCTGTGAAGCTATTCTGCCCTCCATGGGTCAGGAATATGTCCACTCCAAGTCTGAGCAAATCCACTTGTGGAAGGGCAGGGCTGCAGAAGGCATTTGGAGGTACCTCCAATCCCTCCAGGGCATCTGCTTGGGGACCTAGTGCTGCAAGAATCAAGGGCGACTGTGTTGAGCTCGGGTCCCACTGGCCAAAAACATCAAAGGCTGCCTGCCACGCTGCCTGACAAAGTTCCCGACCGGAAATGCCTACCTGCTGCCCATCCACAATGAAGCGAGCACCCCAGCCGTAGTCAGTATGATCACCAGTGATGATGGTTCCAAGACTCACCAAGACCACTTGTCGACCTTTCGCCCTTGCATCACGAGCCAAGTTGAGGGCTGTCGCGTCGTTATCACCACCTGAATGAACGGCAGCATCCAGCTTGTGACCGCCTGCGCGTTTAGCACCCGGCTTGTCCAACATAGGGCCAAGGTATACGAAGTCATGGGCGGTGTATGCGTTAGACACTTCTGGGGACATAGGATCCGCCAAGAATTCGGAAGTGGTCACCAGCGTCAGAGTAGACATCAAGCAACTTCTAAAGACTCCCAAAGGTTTCACCCCATCTTCCACTGCGAGGTGAAGGCCGTAGGTCTTCTTCAGACGTTCTATGCAATCTTGCAGTCCTGAAGAGGGGAACGGGCCAAACAGGCATGCAGAACCTCTGGGAATTGATTATAGGGCTCATGGGTCTGGACTGTATCCATATCAACCGCATATCAATGGTGCTCAATTGCTAGGTCAATACAGCCGTGATATATCTAGTTCATTAGTTTATGGCGTTTTGAGCGCACCAACTGTTTTGTCCCCTAGCGTCCTTGAAACTGACGTCTTTCCTGCAAGACCTTCTCCGCAGTGGTGCCCAGAGCCTTCAAGACACCGCCCCAAGCGATTTCCTGTCCACCAGGCCCTGCAACGGTCAACAAGGCCACACAGGGAATCCCTGCCACCCTTGCGGCCAGCGGGGCTTCCAAGTTGATCAACGGATCGCAGAGCACTGCCTGAGCTTTGATCTTCTCAAGCCATCGGAGAGTACCAGGCAGCATCAGCTCTACTGCCAACTCCCTCAGTTTCAATCTGGCCTGGGACAGGCTTTCGCCCTTCATGCCATACTCCTCCTGCAAGGATCCCAGGGCACCCCACATCGAGGGATCTCTTCCAGCGTACAGCTCTGGTTGAGTGTCAATGTCGCTGTGGAACACGGCGCCAGTATCTTCGATCGCCTCACGCATCTGTTCTCGACAGAGGTAGTGCACATCGTGCCCCTGCTGAACAAGGGACCGAGCAATGGCTAAAGATGGGTTGATGTGACCCGCAGCCAAGGGGAAGATGAATGCAAAACTCTTGGAGCTTTGAGTCGGCATCTCCATGTTCTGAACGGCAAAAGTGCGAGGAATCAAGGAAGCAGATCGTTCCCGAAGGCTTTCTGAGCCAAGAATGAGGCTGTGCATTCAATCTCAACCATGGTTCAGCCTCAGCAAAATCCAAAAGCTACTGTGCCCTGATCCAAAGAAGAACATGATACCAGCGAAAACGTACAGCAGCTGCATTGCCAAGGAACCAGGATCAACACAAAACAGGCAAAGGTCAAATTGTACCATGGCTGCAGGTGCTTATTCATGTAGAAGGTTGCATCATCAACATCGATCGAAATTACAGCACAGTACTGGTCTACATAGAATATGAAATCCGGAGGCAGTTGGAACATCCACGCAGCAGGTCCAAGAACTCCGAAGGTCTGGCACAAGAAATTAGCAGCAGCGTCAACACCATCAACCTCAGTTTGAAGCATCCCTCGAGAAAGACCGCTCCCGCGGCAACTTGGCACCCAGGCGGGTCTTCTTCAGCGGCTCCAACACGAGAATGACATTGCTCGACGCATAGCCGTGGCAGGACAACAATCTCCAGCAACGAGTTGCCAACGTTGCTGAGCGACCTAAGCTGCAGTTCTTCGCGGAGCGCCGCGGCCACGACCATCGTCGCTGTCGGCCGTTTGATAGGTCGACGGCAGCTCTACTTATTCGGCTTGGTCCAACAAGGGCTTCGAGGGATCCAGCCCTCTAGGATGGGCCCTGCCGGACTCAGCCTTCCGCTGAAGTCTGTGAGCAACCCAACCAAGCCGAGGTCCAGAAAGATACGAACATCTTCCACTCCATATGCTTGGATCATTTTGGCAGTCGTCCGCCCGTGCCCATCAAAATCCACAGTCTCGTGAGCGTATATCCCGGCGACGGGAGAGTTCCGGTCCCAGGCTTTCCTTGCCTTCTGCGCCCAGCTTCTTTATCAGCTCGAAGGAAGTGTACGTCATTCCCGTGTCTGGGGGCTTTCTCGGCCCTCGCCTGCAATTGCACGCCAGATCCACCCAGCGTTCTGGGTTCGTCGCGCCCAGCTGGCCGGCTCCACCGCCGCCCCGTGCGCGCAGATGGCCATGTTTCCCGATCTGTCTCGGTAGGATCCAGTAGAACTGCTTTAGCCGATGTGCGCAGTGTGCAGTCACCTGTACTGAGTCGTGTTTTCCGGCTAGGGCTACGGGCGCTTGTTGGTTTGGCAACGGCAGAAGTGCTTCAGAAATGCATACTCTTGCAATCACTGCACCGCTGATTCATGACGTGGCCACAGTGACACTTGCAGCGCAGGTTTCGGACATCATTTTCGCATGCTACGCACATAGAGACAGCTCTTGAATGTCTCTTTCCCTGCACGCAGCTCCTCCAGAGGTGTAGTGTAAGTTTTACAGGGCTTTAGGTTGTAGTGGTCGATGAGTGGCAGGGTCTCATAGGAAGCAGTGAGCACGGATCATGCTGAGATCAGATAAGGAAGGCCGAATGTCCTTGACTCGCGGACAGGAGCTACTGCCAGCGTCTTTTTGAAACCATTCGAACCAGGTGCAGTTTCGATTCGGGTCTCGGGGTATGGGTCTAGGGTTTAGGGTTTCGGGTTTAGGGTTCAGGGTAGAGTTCTACGGCTCTGCGCTCGACAGAAAGCTTGGCAGTCGCCCGGGCCCTAACTGTCGGGGGATCTGATCCTACGTCGCCTGCACATTGCCACGATCGTTTCATCTGGAATATCGGAAGTCTGATGCCAAATTCCAGACACTTGAAAAGCTCAAATCAGCAATGATCGCGGCAAAAGGCTCAGCTGACTGAGGTGACCGGAGCACGCCTCTGCAAAGAAGACCTACAAAGATTCAGCGTAAGAAGCGGAAGCTCGGAAAGGTGCCTTCGCTTTGCAGAGGGCCTCCTCTGATACCGTAAAACTACTAAAGAAAAGCCGAACGTCCTATATCATCAGAACCGACCTTTGTTGGGTCGGAGATGCGGCTAAAGGCAGCCTGCAGGCCCTCGGCCACAGATGGTGAGATGCTTCGAAGCAGACTCTTTCGAAGCCCGGAGTCGCCTACTCAGAAATCCTTGTAACCAGGAGTTCTACTATTTACTATTTAAGGTCTCCTACTAGCGTTCCTGATTCTTGCAACTCGGGCTTGATGTCAACCTTTGGCAGGCGTCTTCCATTCCGTGGAGGGGTTTGCTTTGCAGGTCCCACTACAGGGGTGTAGTCTGTGTGAGCTGCATGACCTTCCATTCTGAGGGTTTTTCTAGAACAAGCTCGCCCGTGAAACGTCAGGGCCAGTAGTTCCACCAGCTTTCCGAAGGGTTTTGCTGCTGCTCCTCCTGTCGGTAGCGGCGAACGAAGCCCATCACAAAGGCATTCGGATTCCTCGGCTTCAGCAGTTTGGATGCAGGGTCTGGGGCTCAGGGATCATGGCTTAGGCTTTATCGCTTAGTGGCTTGGTGATCATGGCTCAGGGCTTCCATGGCGCGATCTACTAGTCTACCCACATGATCTGAACTTTATTCCCGTGTAGCCATTATGTGTTTTACCGTCATTCCTATCATGGAACGATAGTTATCACCACGTAAGTAGCTGTCGCTATGGAACGGGCCCTCGTTATTTAATGATTCGGCCAAACAGCAGGGTTCTGTTCTGCAGTGTCTTCGAGCTCCTCCGGTTTAGGATCTTTTCTCAAATGCCCTGCCTCAAAACAGCTCGTTGCCTTAGTCCTACACCCACAACAAGCGGCTTCGAAGAGGTACGGCCTCATAGGCCACACGAAACCCCTAGCGTTCACCAGCTGTCAGATTTCCCATCGTTAGAACCGGAAGGGCTCTCCAAGTGCAGTACAAAGTCGCCTAAAGTGCAGTTTCCAGTTCTGAACCCATCCAATTGTCGAGACAGTTGAACTGAAGTCACGCCCAGCTGTTGTGTTGAAGAACTGCAGGATTCCATCCCAGGTCAGGCAAGCATCATCGACTTGGGCAACTTCTTGAAGAGTTGGTGAGCCTGACAGTGATGTCACCATTCGTCTTTGCCAGGACGGTCGAGTCTCAATTCGAGTCACACGGCAAACAGTGGAGTTAACGGATTGTATTTGATCGCAGTGCAGTACGATGCAAGACATGGCTTACTGACAGACCACAGCAGCATGATGATCTGCCTCAGTGTAGTCGAACGCAGCGGCTATGACGCAACATCTTAATCATGATGATGACTAGACACTGCACTATCGCCAGCCATCATCGCTTGGATGAATGCTGCAATATACACAGACTCCAGCCTGAAAGCTGCAACCACACAGGCGTAGACCGCTAACTCTTGCTGTGAGATCAAGTCTTGCCCTTAAAAGCAATCCTGACTTCACGCCCCTCCACTCACGAGGCCACAGACACTCCCTTCCTTGGTTTCGCAAGCACAGGGAAGGTAGGAGTCTTCTTCGCAGCTTGGGGGGCCTGCTCCGGAGGCAGCGTCTCTATGGCGGCCAACGCGTTGTGGCTCAGAGGTCGGTCCTGCGAACGAGATCATCCACGAGCCTCCCTGAGAACAACGTAGTTCCTTACAGATCCGCGGAGCCTGAGATTTGTCGGCAGGGGTGTTTCTTCTTTGCTCATGAGTACTTTTTGGGATGTGCAAGCTTCAACTCCGAGCCGCTTTGGCTGCGAATCCGGGAGGCAGTTAGGTACCAAGGAAACAGAAGAGCCCAGATCTCCTGTAGCCTTTACAGTCTACAAGAATATTATTAGAACAGACCCCTCAACATCTTCCCGGAACACATTCTATATAACAAGGCCCCAAAACCCTCTTCCAGCTAGGCCCATGGCACTGGCCTCCTCCTGCGGCCGGTGGGAGCGGTAGTGCAACTGGACGATCTTGCTGGGATTCCTTAGAAAGGTTCCGAAGAACCCCGAAGCATCGAACGGTGAAGAGCAAGGCCATGTTGGCTTCGGCGGTGTGGGCTGTAGAGTTTGGGGTTCAGGGGTTCGCCTTCAGGAGTGGTAGGAGGCCGATTTCTGGAACAATGCTCCCGCAAAAATGGGAGCGGCTCGGTATGGCAAATGAAAGGACTAATTTGGATATACCATAAGTATAAGTATATAGGCATATGTCATATGCATATGGAATGGAAACTACAAGGGGCCCACCTAAAACGCCCGGACGCGGAAGGTTGGTGGCACCGAGTTGAGATCAGCGGCTGTTCGTGCAAGGCTTTGGCCAGGGCATCCCGGGCCTGTCGCGAAAGAGGGCCTAAGGGTTTAAGGGTTGGTTCAAGGGTTTAGGGTTCAAGTAGGGTTTGTTAGGGTTTAGGACTCAGGGGCTCAGACTTGGGGTTGAAAGAGCAAGCGGAGCCAACTCCCGTGAGTGGGGCTCCCTTGCTGAAACACTGCTCCGGGCGCAGAGGTGCAAGGCAGTTGCATGCGTGATCGATAAAATCAAGGTTGCACTCCACATGGACTTTCTCAGCATGCAACACTGGAATCCCAGGCATCTGCGGGTCGGTCGAAGCGACAATTGCCGAGTTGGAGCTCGGGAACCGGAAATCGCCTCAAAACGCTTAGAACACAGAGTCGCAAGCCTAGGCTTTGGGAGACCCCGAAAGCCTCTAAGACCAAGCTCCTGAGCCCTTGCAAGAGCCTGGTGCAAAGGAAGCAGGCGCAAAGCTGCACTGGCGGATCGATCCAGCTTGAGCACCTCAGGATCAATGGGTACGGAGGGTCTTCCGTTCGGCGGAATTACTGCCTTTTGGAGCTCCGTTTTGGGGCTTCGGCTTCCGTGTGGGGCCACACGCAACGGCGAGGCTGTTTCTGCAGGTCGAAAGAGAACCATCGAAGACTTCTTCGTGGCGGCGTTGCTCGTGGCAGCGACGTTCACTTCTTTTCGCGGTGTTGCTATTGACGTGGCTATGGCTATGCAGCCGACGGAAACGGCACATGTGCTCATTCCTTCACCACCGCCCCCCGCAAAGAAAGCGGAAGGACGCCCCGGTCATATTAGAGGGCTGGTAGAACAATCAGGGCGCCATTGTTGCTCGGGAACGGGGGCCTGGTTTGTGTTTTCTCTTGTGATGTTGCTGGAGTGACCCGGTCGGTCAAACATCGAAGGTTGCACTCGAAACCGAGTTAGTAGGCACCTGCGCCCGCTCAAGACTGCTATGACTTGGCTCATCTTCCGCGTTCCCAACAGTTAAGCCTGGGACGGTCTGAAGAAGGTCCACCAGGTCCCAGGCAACTGCCTCTCGGTGGGCTCAGGATATATCTGGAGATGTAGCCGTGCATGTTTGCCTTTAGCTTGCACGGATTGAGGCTCGTCTGACTCCAGGTCTTGGGCTTGAGGACAAGGGGTCAGGACTTTTCAATATCTGGTCCCCTAAACCCTAAACCCTAAACCCTAAACCCTCAACCTTGGGCCGAAGCCTAAGCCCGTCTGGCCGGGCCCCCAGAACCCCAGGGCCCCCAAATGAAACTGACCTCTTTGAGGCCCCTTGAAACACGCCTCGCTGGGTTCCGTCGACTGCGCTTCGTTGGCGCCTCATGTCTACTCCATCATTTTCGATGCTGCGGCTGCAGTTGAAGGTGTTGGGGTTCAGGGTTCAGGGTTTAGTGGCGTCCGACACGCGACTGCCAGCAGCACAGGCGATCCTGTAA